AAAAATGCACTGACGGTTGGAGTAATGGAATCCTTTAATATCTCTGAGACTAGGCTTCTTATTGTTTTGCAGATTATTTATATTACCAGGAACCCTAAGGATGTTATGGTTTCTTACTACCACTTCTCCAAATTCATAACCACATTAGAGGAAGTACCAGATTTTAACCTTTTTATGGAAAGATTTTTAGCTGGCAAAGGTAAGATATCTTTTTTACTAAGGAGCCCAAATCCTATTCACAGATTCATAGAATCATAGAGTCATACAATCGTTTAGGTTGGAAAAGACCTTTAAGATCAAGTCCAACCGTTAAACCAACACTGCTAATATCATCACCAAACCATGTCCCTAAGCACCTCATCCACATGTCTCTCAAATATCTCCAGGGTTGGTAACTCCATCGCCTCCCTGGGCAGCCCATTACAATGCCTGACAGCCCTTTCAGTGAAGAAATTTTTTCCTAATATCCCACCTAAACCTATCCTGGTGCAACTTGGGGCTGTTTCCTCTCATCCCACCACTTGTCGCTTGGGAGAAGAGACCGGCACCCACCTCTCTGCAACCTCCTTTCAGGCGGTTGTAGAGAGCGATAAGGTCTCCCCTCAGCCTCCTCTTCTCTAGGCTGAACAACCCCAGTTCCCTCAGCCGCTCCTCACAGGACTTGTGCTCCAGACCCTTCACCAGCCCCATTGCCCTCCATGACCTCAGACTGAATGGAGATTAATTATATCAATAAATATCAATTACCAGAATCCTCAGCTGTGCTGTAACCTGAATCCAAAGTTGCAGAAGCTGTCTGGGCTTGACACCATTTTCTGATGAATGCTGATCCAAAGGGAGGAGAATAGTCATGGCTTTGCTGCTCCCCAGCAACATGCCAGCTGCTTATTTTATATGAATTGGATGCTGATTCGGAATATAACCATTATGACTGAAAATCTATCAACATTTTCTGCACTTGGTCAGTGGATCTGAACCCATAAGGATAGACACTGTACAGCAACAATAGACAAATAGTTTTTTTGCTTCTGCCTGTATTTGTTCAGATTACTAGAAACAAAAGGGTATTTGCCACATTAGCTTGGAGGATTGTCACAAAGACTGAGCATGCAGCCTTCAAATTATCAAAATGTATTATCTTAAAAAGACCTTTCAAAGATCTAAATGACTGATTATTTTACTGTGTTACTGCTGGCTGTTAATAGCATTTCTCTTTATTTGTTTTGTTTTAATAATTTTCCCTTCTAAGTACTTGCCAGTTCGTGGCTGGATCACGTTACAGGCTGGTACAGTCATGCAGAGGATTTCAATATACTCTTTCTTACCTTTGAAGAAATGAAAAAGGTAGGTCAATTAGTATCACTGTATTCAAGATATTCTCTTCCTGTACTGAGCGCATTTTTAGACAGCTCTTTATAATTACACTTAATATTGGAAAATGCTTAATCCAGTAGGGAGTAGATTCAAATGGAGACTTCTGAGAGGGTAAGGTAGTTTGTCTCATTGGTTCAAGGTCTTATCAATTGCTAGACAATTATTAGGTAAAATCCTTTCCAATATGACCAAAGTTATCTTCACTACCACCCAAAAAAAGCCTTTCTGACACTGGACAGAACAGGACTTTCGCGCGTATCTTCAACAGGAATGTTTTGCCCATAAGGACAGTTCCAGTAAAGGAAGGAACTGCTTAAGAGGCAGGCTTTGAAGTACTCGAGGAGCAGACGTTTCCTGCTTGGTGGCTGCCTATGCTTTTGTGCAACCTCTCGTTTCCCCGAGGCAGCTGCCCTTCTCCCCTTGGACAAGCCGTGGCAGCGCAGCCCACCTCACGGCCACCGCGCTGGTCCCTCAGCCGTCAGAGCCTGGGCCTGCTCAGGTCAACTCCCTTGCTAGGGCAACAAGGCTGACAAAACCCCCACGGGCTGAGTGCCTTCACAGTGACAGTCATGGTTCCAGGGGTGACTTTGGCAGGGCGTCTAACGCAAGACGCAGGCTGGGTTTGCAGCGCGGGGAGCAGAACGCAGACTTCCTCGTCTCCAAGGGCACGCTGCGGCAGTGAGCTACAGCATCACTGCTCCCCAGTATTCAACTGGTGCAAGCGAGACTGTGCTCACATAAAAACTCTGGTCAGCTTTGCACCCAAATTTATGTCCTTTATTATCCTGTGTCCCACTGCTCTGCGCACGTAACGTTTTGCATCATCACGACTCTTCAATGTAACATTATTTCAGGATCTCAGAAGCGCTGTGCTGAAGATCTGCAACTTCCTCGGCAAGAAGCTGAGCGACGAGGAAGTGGACAGTGTGGTGAGACAGGCTACATTTGAGAACATGAGAAAAGATCCCAGGGCTAACTACGAGAACTTGCCAGATGACTTCGTAGTGAGAGACAAGGGTAGTTTTCTCCGAAAAGGTAAAGTGGAAGCAGTCCAACGGAGCAACTGTTTAATCCCACGCTTCTTGGTATGAAGTGAACCTAAGGTTTCCAGTCTCAGCTAGAGTGCCCATGTGCAGAGGGAGAGGTTACCGGCAAATTAAATTCATAAGAGCAGTTTAATTGCTGTGGCATCAGTGATTTTACCATACTTTCCTGAGGATAATAAAACAGTAATGTTTTACTGATTGTAACAGACCCTTCAGATAGAGGAAAGGATTTAAAGGTTGTGCCATGCCAGGGGTAAGATAATATTTTTTTTTCACTGTTTCTTACTTTTCAAGGCAACAGTCACCTTAACTGTGTGAGCGTAGATGTTCCTGACCAACAAACCCTCCGAGCCCACACACGGCATCCCCTAATGCTCCATGTAGGAGGAGACCTCCAGGGATTAAAGAGCGTGGGGCACGGAGAGAAAAACGAGAGGTGTTGCTTTTAATAACTGCTTTTTTGATGTCAAAGGAATCGGTAAAACACCAGAACAAATTGAGTTGAATAACTTTATGAGGAGTCAGGATTATAGGTCTGTGCTGGGTTTTATTCACAACACCTAGGTTTGGAAGCGTGTCCACAGAAGAGCACACAGAGCCTCACTCGGCAGGCCAGCAAGCGGTCATAGATGCTGAGGAAGCCAGGAATTGCTTCCCAAGACTAGCACTGACTGTGTGCCGTGGGCTTCCAAGTGGTGCACGTTCTGCTTCTCACCTCCATTTGCTGCCTCTTTCCTCAGGCACTGTTGGAGACTGGAAAAACATCATGACAGTGGCACAGAGTGAAAAGTTTGACAAAATTATTGAAGAGAAAATGAAGACCCTGCCCATCAAATTCATCTGGGATATTAGTGAAATGTAGGCTGGATTTGATTTTCATCATGCTTTGGTTTTTATACTGGATGGACATATCTGAAGTTCTGGAAGAAGAAAATGCATCAATTTACAGCTATGTTATAGAAATACTAATGATGACAACTCAGTGACAAAATGAGTTGTCTGAGGAAGCTATTCAATTCCACCAGTTTCCCATCTGTAATTTTACAAAGTGTTTTAATTGACTTTCTCAGTAAACTGACTTCCTTTCTTCGCATTTGCTTTTACTTTCATGTGTTTTAATAACGCCAGACTTGTAAACAGCCAGTCAGTGTAGGCTGGTGTTGCTAAAAACCTTCTGAAGGATGTTTCACTGACACATTTCATGAGGCTTCTTTTGGTACAATCTCCAATGTCCGGACTGGCAGGAAGATTGACCAGTTCTGGTTATGCTTTGATATGTCTGAGTTCCTGTTTCCTTAGTGAACACCGATACTCAACCGTTTGCTATTAAACTGATTTTGTGTTGCACTCTGGTGTTGCCTGTTGACTGAAACACTTCATTGCATTGCCCGTTACGGTTCTCGAGTTCACGTCTGACAGTTTGCTACTGGAAATACTGAGAAAAAACACAAGCCCCAGTCATAGCAGGTTTTAAGTGAACGTCCACTTTACCATACCTGATGATCTGCTGAGCTACTGATGTAAGAAACTACCAGCTGTCTGTGACTACGTCCTTCCTCACAGATTCATTAGCTTCCTGTCATGGTTCAACCTGCCCGTGATTCAACTCCGTGCAGCAGGTTGCCCATGGGCTTCCCCTGAGAAGATGAGGACTGAGACGTGTCTCAAGATTTTTTTCTCTCCACAACTTAAAAAAATCTTTGCAAGTTCAACCACTCCACTCCTGACGTGCGTCTGGTCTGCGATACATTCGCCTTTGCGAAGTAATGTCTTCTGTGTTGTTTACAAAGGCAATTTCAACTCCTGCGTATTTCCAACTCTACCCACTGAAACTACTCACAGACTAGGGCTGTAGTTCCTCTCCTCCCGTGTACCCACTGTGAAGTCTCTCATACATCTCTCACATTTTTTTTCCCCTCCAATAACCTTCCATCCCTTTCAGCACAGGCTCAGTGAGGAAGGCAGAGGGAAAGAACGTGATTGGAGGAGGAAACATTTGGTTCCAACTTTTTTCAGGCAGCAACCACGCTTCTCTAGTGTGGAAGGCAAGTTTTGGGCCCCCATCCCTGCTTCCTGCTATGATGTCTACATGATCCAACTATGGTGACTGCTTTTGGTTGCTATTGAATCCATGTCCTACCAAGCAGCCTCAGGAGGTGTGAGAGACCTTATCCTGAGTTGTCTAAAGCTTGCTGACAAAGTTGTGAAACTCCTTGGTGGCTTGGCAGCAGGGACTGCCTGCAGGCCTGAAGGGATAAGGGCCAAATGGCCTACCATCAACAGGTGCAAATTGCCTCTGGAGACCAGTTCCGATCAAGGACAAAGACCAAGGACATCGCTTCATGGGGGGTCCAGACACAGAGGACCCCAAGCCTGCCAAAGCACGCAAGTGGTCACGTAGGGGTCCTGTGCACCCCACGGGATCAGCTGCTGAGAGCATGCGCAGGGGGCAAGAGTCAGCAAACAAATACCCTATAAAAGATTGTGAGACCAAACCACGATGAGGGACCCTCCCCACCGAAGACTGCAAGGCTATGGACCAGCGGGACGCTACTGGATCCATGGTGGTGACCATCTTCTATCCCGACTGCTTGCTAAATTTTGCCCCTTTTCAATTTTCTCTTTCTCCTATCGCTACTTTCTTACAACAAAAATAAACTCCTTTGTTAGCGGCATCTGACCTCGTTTGTGTCTTAATCTCACTCTGGGTGTAACAACGAATCTCCCCCTTCCCGGGATAACCGGGCCGGGACAGCAGGACATAACTTATAATTTCAAAAACACTGCAAATAATCATTCTGATTTGGCAGAGAACACCTAACTTTGCCTTCCCATAAACTCTTTGAAAAACGCAAAGAACTCTTCTCGTTCACATACTGGCTTTTCTGTTTGTTCACTTCCATCCCTTGATTTTTTTTCTCTCTTTCCATTTTCAACCTTTTTGCCTTCCAGTATGCCGTACCTGCTTCTTTCCTGGACAGAATTACTTGGTGCACAGCATGATGCCAGGCAAAGGCGACCTCATGTAACTAGCCCACAGGAGTATTTCCATGTCCTTCGACTGCGCAGCCTGACCAAAGATCCTTCTGGAACTTTGTGTCCCCGATACCAAGAAAATAAGTGACAGAAAAGCACCTCTTATGTGATTTACGTAAGCCCTGCATCCCCTGACCTCTGAGTTTGAACCCAGTTTGAACCAGTGACCTTTCCCACCTGTACATATTTGCCTTGGCCACACAAAAAGCAAAACGAGTTCAAAGTCAGAAGCCTAACACAGGCCTTTTGCTGTATGCACAAACAGAACTCCTGATTAACGGGGAGGACCTTGATCCTTCCCCTTTGGCCAACGGCAGGAAATCCCAGCAGCGTAATAACAGCCACAGAAACCTCATGCTACGCTGTATGCCACTCCCCGGTGGTATCAGCTCACTCTGTCGGTTGCAGATTTCATGAGCACGCAGTGCAGAAAGTCAAATCAAGTTCATGGCAATAAATGCAACCATAGAGAATCACAGAACGAATCACAGAATGGTTTGAAGGGACCCAAAGATCATCTCAACCGCCCT